GGCTCACACCTTTAATCTCATTGTTTAGGAGTCACATACCTTTAATGCCAGCACTAGGAAGATGGAGGCGGGCAGAGAGAGGACTATAAAGGGGAAGAGACAGGAACTCAGTGGAGTGTGCAGTCTGGGCAGCCTGAGGACTGTCCCTTCGGTCTCAGCATCAGCAGACGTAAATGATCTCTCACGTAATTAACTGGATTCGTGCCACAAGGAAGTAAGTTTTATCTCCAGCAACATCAAAAATAATATTAATTGAAGAAGTGCGACTTCACACTACTTCATACACTCACAGACAGAGTGAATAAATTAAATATTTTAAGTACACTCTAGTTACTGTCTTCCCTGAACTTTGCTCATATTCTTCAACCATCAAAAGCATTCCCCACATTAGTGTGGAAACAAAATAACAGGATTTCCAAACTTTACCTGTTTTTTAATAGCTTTTTAATAAGTTCAATTGCTTGGCTTCCATAACCCACAAAACCAATAAAATAGATTTATAAACCATTCAATCACACACACGACCCAGGGCTTACACAGAACTCACAATCCCCACACTGAAATACCAAGGCTGCAAAGCAGGCACCTGGGCAATAATTCTCTAACAGACACTAAAAGACCTGGGAAACTAAGTCCCCACCCTCTGTTCCTGGCTTTCTAAAGAATCATCAAGTTCTGAAGCACAAATCATCAGGAGCTATAAGTGGCCCTCAGCATTCACCTCCTGCATGGTTGGTCCACTCCTGGCTACCTTCCATTTAGTTATACTTAAAAATGTAAGTATTTGTCCAGGTCTTTCAAACAATAGGAACTCAATGGATCCTGGTGAATCAGTCAGTTAAGGTGTTTACATGACAGACTCCTGAGGCATTGTTGAACCAGATAATGTTGGTGGTACAGCCTGTGATACCAGCTCTCATGAGGCCGAGGTGAGTTCCAGACCAGCATGGCAAGACCCTGTCTCAAGAAGAAAAAGAAGGAAATAAAACAAGCGACAATTATCACCTGCACGCTGTCATCTCCTGTCTTCTCTAACTACCTTTAGCCCAGGCCCAGCATATTAGTCAAGTGTCATGTTCCCTTAGTACACCAGCATTTCAAATTCAACACATCTCTGCTTCCTCCCAAAGCCGCTCATCTGCCCACAAAGCCCCTCTGCCAATGGCATGACCAAATTACAAATCTTAGAGTCACTGGTAAGTCCCATTTTCCTTACCATTCACACCAACCAATCACCCTGTCTGGCCATCTTGTTAACACATCCTATACAAGTCATTCCTGCCTGCATGTGCAATGCCACCAAAATGTGAGTCTACACCATGATTTCTACTATCTAAACAACCTCCTACCCAGTCTCAGGATGATTATCTGCTTCCTGCTCTCTTGTTACAAACAATATTAAAGACAAATCTTTCCAGGTGTACATGTGTGCACATAACACATAGAAATATCTGCAGATACGTCACTGTGCTTCTTACAGTACCTAGCACACAGAAGATAGATGGAGGAAGGTCATTGGTTAATTATAATAAAGAAACTGCTTGGCCCTCATAGGTTAAAACATAGGTGGGAGGAGTAAACAGAACAGAATGCTGGGAGGAAGAGGAAGTGAGCTCAGAAATCATGCAGCTCCTCTCAGAGCCAGACGCGATGAAGCAAGCCGCGAGGTCAGACATGCTGAATCTTTCCCGGTAAGACCGGTGCTACACAGTTTATTAGAGATGGGTTGATCAGGATATCAAAATAGCCAGTAAGGGCTAAAGCTAATGGGCCAAGCAGTGTTTAAAAGAATACAGTTTGTGTGTTGTTATTTCGGGGCATAAGCTAGCCAGGCGATCAGGAGCTGGGGCGGCAGGAACACAGCCCGCAGCTCCTACTACAGAAAAATAACTGTGCCCATATTCCCAAATATTGTTTATAAATGTTCTTTTACATTTAAAGGGGGATATGATATAGATATGAATAATTTACATTGGTATGGATTTTAAGGTCAATTTTGTTATATGTATATGTATTTCTGATATTGATTAAGGTATTGTGATCGTGTAGTTCATTTAAAATGTGATGTATAATAGGAAATATAGGTTGCTAATGGATAATCATCAATAATAGTAAAGCTTGTAGTCATGTTAGATTTTCTAGATATATAGAGATATATTTTAGTTAGATAGGCATTCTTCATATCTTTCAAAGACTACAGAATATGGCATTTAATGTTCTAATAATTTAGGGCTTCTCATGACAATGAGATACGTCTGCTCCTGGCAGCACCAGCTACTTCAAGAGAAAGATGGGCATTGAAGAGACTCCTTATGGAGTTTGATAAACATTTGGGCAAGAAACTGCCCTTGCTTGGACTGTTGCATAAACTGGACACAGAGAACCCACAGAGAAAGGACTGCTGAACTTGCCTAAAGGTGAGATGATCCTTTGGAGTTCCTGATTCAAGAAAGAGTCTACGAGACATTCTGCAGGACACAGTAGAAAGTGACTAAATTGTCTTTGGAATTTTCCTGCTTCATGGAAATGTCTGCTGGTAACTATAGGCCTGTAGGCCAAAGATGGATGCCCCAACGGTACAGAGGAACTTTGGGTGACTGTCCAGGCAGCAAGATGTCTCTTGTCATTTCTAGAGTTTTGGATTTCTTGTTTGTTTAGGTAATATTATATCCTTCTGGAGTCTTTGATAGAGTTAAAGAATGGATAGATAGTTATAGTTTTCCTTAGTTATGATAAAAAATAAAGTAGATATAAATATTGTAACTGTAATTCTTACTTGATAATTGTTTTGTTAAATGTAATTTTACTATGTTAAAGTTAAAGCCTTCCTTTTTTGTTTAAACAGAAAAGGGGGAAATGATGTGGGAGTGATTTCTTATTAATAAAGAAACTGCCTAGGCCCATTTGATAGGCCAACCCTTAGGTAGGCAGAGAAAACAGAACAGAATGCTGGGAGAAAGAAGCTGAATCAAGGAGTTGCCATGATTCTCCCACTCCAGACAGACGCAGGTTAAGATGTTCCCTGATAAGCCACCTCGTGGGCTACACAGATTATTAGAAATGGGTTAGATCAATATGTAAGAGCTAGCCAATAAGAGGCTGGAACTAATGGGCCAGGCAGTGTTTAAAAGAATACAGTTTCCGTGTAATTATTTCAGGTAAAGCTAGCCGGGTGGCGGGAAGCAGCCCGCTGCTCCTATTACAACAACATCCCAAAACCGCATCTGGCTATCCCACCTAGTAACTCTAGGATAGACAGAGACACGCCTTCTTCACCATGCAGCCAACTTCTATTTTGAACTTGGAGCAGAGTTCCTGAAATAGACCGATGCCACCAAACACACAAGAATTCTACTTTCACCTCTTGAAGTTAATCTACAACAGGGCCTTCATTCACCCAAAAGAAAATGTATTTACTTCAGCATGCCCCAAGGAGGAAGCTTCCAGAGAGAAGGAGCCACTAAAGAAATTTTGGGCAAATCCAGTGTCTCCCGCTGCCCTTTCCCTCACTCCACCCACCCCTTCCCTTTGCAAGCCAGCCACATGCAAATATCTACCAGCAGTTCGCTTCCCTTCAACTGAGCTGTTTCTGAACCTTTCATCTATTCTTGAGCTGTAGAGAATGCTCCTGCAGAGATGGCAGGAGCCAAGACCACTCAGGGATGAGCACCAGCACTGTGATCTGAGTTTGATCCTGGGAACACACATGGTGATGGAGAGAACCCAGAGTTGTCCTCTGATATCCACATATGTGCCATGGCATACACACACACACAGGAACACACAGGCACACAAAGGCATACACAATCCTGCACAAACTAAACAAACACACACATTACTTCTAAAATTGTTGATTCATAGTCACTCAAGCATGAATACAAGAAAAGGACTAAGGAAAAATAAAGGCAAACTCTCTGACTATCAAGATGCTATTTATTTTTCCTCCTCTCAATTTGTTACTTTTAAGGCCTCTTCATCATTACCCGGAGAAAACTCAAGACTACACCATGATTATATTTCCTAAGAACCACCATTATAATGAGCCAAGGAATGGAGAAACAAAGGTGAGAGGGGGCAGCTGAAAAAAGCAAAGCTTAGGTAGTCTGTGCTTCCTCCACTCCCTGCCCCCTCTTCTTTTATTGAGACAGTCTTGCACAGGCTGGCCTTAAACTCATAATCCTCTAGCATCTGCCTTCTGAGTGATGGAATTACAATCAGGCATCATCATGACACAGAGGCTACTCTGTGCTTCTCTAATGTTCTTCAGTAACACAGGGTGACCTGTCCACACCTACCCAGGATAACAGGTAACCTGGCCACACCTTCCCCAGAACAGGTTACCTGATCACACCTACCCAGGACAACAGGTGACCTGGCCATCACCCACCCAGAGTCAACAGGGCTCAGAGAAAGAAGGAGAACATATGCTAGCTACTTTGTAACTTTATATTCTACTTCCTTCCAGCCAGTCAGAGACTCTGAACAATTGCTAAGACCCCTATATGTCAAGGATAGGAACAGAGGAACATTCTTGTCCATGTGCTCTCCACTCTCACACTTTGGGGTGAAAAAGCAGCAATATAGGGTCACTGAACTTCGAATATTAAAGCAAAAAGATTATTTCAACGGGAATAATGCATAAGAGACTATTATTCAACACTCTCTGGATTACTGGACAAAATTGTAAAACTTCTCAGCTATCTTGACTGCTAAAGACAAGTTAGGGCCCAGAGAGGAAGAGGGTGTGACTTCCAAAGTCACAGTCATCTCAGACCAAATGAAGGTCACATAACAAGAGCAAAATGCTCCTATGAGAGACAAATTGGCTCATACCCAGTGAAGCAATACACGGTGCCAATTTATACAGCAGGAGTGGGAAAATTCCCTTCTCAGAGTGCACTTCCGTCTTGGTACAGAGAAAGCTAACCCTACCATATAGATGTTAGTGTCTGAATCTAAAATGCCCACATGAGCTCATGTTTTTAACACTGGGTCCCCAGCTTATGGCAATACATTGAATATTGAGGAGCTGTTAGGAGGAGGAGCCCAGGTGGCAGAAGTAAGTCACTTCGGAGCTGGCCTCTGAAGGTCACATGCAGGCCCTGGTGCCAGTGTAAGAGTTTGGCTGCCATGCTCATCACCATGGTCTGAATCATGCCACCATGCCTTCCCCACTAAAATCCCTCTGCAGCCACGAGCCAAATAAGCTTTTCTCATGTTATGGTGTGGGAAATCCTTCTGTCTATGTGTTGCTTTTATTGGTTAATGAATAAAGCTGTTTCGGGCCAGTGGCTTAGCAGAATAGTAGGGTAAGGCGGGAGTTCCAATCAGATAGAAGAGGAGAGAGTAGGCAGAGTCAGTGAGAAGTCATGGGGCCACCGCAGGAGACAGACAGAAGAGACAGATGCCAGACGGATTCTTACCAGCAGGCCACAAACACATGGCGATACACAGATTAATAGAAATGGGTTAACTTAAGAGCTAGCTAGCAATATGCTTTAAGCTATTGGCCAAACAGTACTGCAATTAATACAGATTTCTGTGTGATGATTTCGGGTCTGAGCAGCCAAGAGCAAACAAGTGGCCTTCAACAACAATGTTAAGTTGTTTCTGCCAGGCATTTGGGCACAGTAGGGTGAAAGTAACTAATACACTGTGTAAAAAGAAGAGAATGGACCAATGGACAGGCAGAGTGGTGTACACCTGCAATCCAAGCATCTGCTGAGCAGAGACCAACGGATTAGGAGTTCAGGGTCATCCTCAGCTACAAAGTGGATTTGAAGCCACCCTGAACCACACAAAATGTTCTTTAAAAAAAATTAATTAAACAAAAAGAAAAAATAGTAACAAAAATTAGTGCTAGGTAGACTCCCATGTGGTTGGTTGGCTTTTTAAAGTTGCACAGCAGTTAAAACTCTATGTGGCAGATCCAAAGGCCATCTTTAAAGAGAAAGATGACTTTGGCTGCTTGTAGTTGTTGCTTTTTCTCTTTACTCCTTGTCTCTTTGCTCTTTAGGGGCGCACCACCCAGCTCTCAAATAAACACACATGGCGCCTTATTCTTCCTTATAAACACCTTGCCTTAGCTTGGCTAATTTCTAGCTAGCTTTTCTTAACTTATTCTGTCTATCTTTTGCCTCTGAACTGTTACCTTTCTCTATTTCTGTACATCTTTTCTTTCCTTCTTATTCTGTGCCTGGCAGTGTGGCTGGCTCCTTCTTTTCTCGCTCCTTAATCTTTCTTCTTTCCCAGACTTCTCCTATTTATTCTCCCTTCCTGCCAACCCCGCCTATCCTTTCTCCTGCCTTGCTATTGGCTGTTTTTTATTACACCAATCAGGTATTTTAGACAGGCAAAGCAACATGGCTTCAGAGTTAAATAAATGCAACATAAAAGAATGTATCACATCTCTGCATCATTAAACAAATGTTTAACAGCATCAACAAATGTAGCACACCTTAAAATAATACTCCACAATACGGCTTTCCAGGTCAGCAAGCAGCAGACTGCAATCTAGACAAGATTGTCCACCATGAAGGGGGAAGAAATATGAGAAAGAAGTCATTTGGTTACTGCCTCCAAGACAGAAGTGGGGAAGGGAAGTACCTTTTCAGAAGAGAATTTAGTAAATAACAATTGTCGATTTTGGCCCCTTGATTCATGCAGGGGCTATGCTGTGATTTATATTGTTTAATCATCCTCATGTCTGTCATCTAAAGTGAATTTAATCATTATCCTGATCCACAGAGGAAAACTGAGTCCTGGAAATGCTCAGTTACATGTGTCTGAAATGCCCTCCAAAAAGTCTGTATGTAAAAGCCATGATCTTCAATTTGGATCTATCAGAAGACAGAAACCTTCAGAAGTAAGGCCGGGGTGAGGAACAGGTCTTTGAGTCATTAAGGGCATGCCCCTGAAGAGAAGAGCAGGACCCCATTCTTTCTCCCACTCCTTCTATGCCTCCCAACACAAAGTGTTGTCTTTCCACAGTCCTAAAATCGGCAACCCACTGATCACAGGATGGACCATCCAAAACTGTTAGCAAAATTAACCTTCATAAATTATAAGTTGGTTTACTCAGTATTTGTCACTGTGAGGAAAAGCTGACCACACTCGCCCAGGTTCATGAGACCAGTGATCATCAGAGCTGTAATAGGAACCCGAGTTTACAGGGTTAGTTTTACAGTCCACATTCCACATGATTAGGGTATGTGGCCCTAAGGTTTTCAACTGGGTGGCTAGGACAGTAGACATTGATTACACAATGAAAAGTTGTGGTTCAGAACTGCAGAACACAGGAGGGGCTGCAAGCAGAGTTATTGAAAAGAATGGCAACCCATCTTTCCCCTCATAGTGAAGCATGTGGCCTGGAAGGACCTACGTTCTGTTCAACAGGGACAGCAGACAGAGTTCCTGGGAATTCGACTGGAACCATGACGTCTTATGTGGCCTTATCTCAGGCAGTAGCATACTTCACTGGGAACAACAAGGCAGAGAAAGGTTACCTGATTCACATCTGTGGAGGCCAACAAAGCCATTGACATTCTAGGATGCTTCTGGGTCTCTAATCATTGCTGTCAACATATGAACATTCCCTTCCCCTGACGGGCATGACACCTTAAAATACCATGACTGGCTGGAAAGCAGAGAATAGATCAGATAACACATGCTACTTCTGAGACAAAGTCAAAGAAGGATACTGAAAATTCTGATTTTGAGGAGTGGCAGATTAGGAGCACAGTGAAGCAACAGGCAATGCCAAAAAGAAATCAAAACTGACCCAAAGGCATACATTAGAGAGGGTATTTAAACAAGCAAGTCAAAACCTTAAAGTCCCACAATTATGGGGCAGTTCAGGGCAACTCGTGCTAGAAACCAAGAAGACACAGATGTCAAAGATATGACATTCAGCCATCTAATCTCCACTGCCCAAAACTCCATCACCCATCCCCGCCCCACCCCTCTGACTCCTCGGTTCCACCCATCACCATTATCTACCTGTGCACCACCAGTGAGCTCCTGCCAATCTGACCCCACTGTACATCCCACACTTCATATGGCATTGCTATGAGGCACTATAGATTCATACCTCAAACTGAACAAAGTGGTATCACTGGGTAGGAGTTCAGGAAAATGCGCATCTTCAAACATACTGGAAAGCAATTTCCCATCTATCACAGCAAGCATGAGTTGCAGAACAAATTCATGGTTGCAGTGATTTATGTGTCTCCTTTATGTTTCTCTGGAGCGGATGTCTACCACTAAACTGTGCACATTGGTAAAAAAAAGTTTAAGGACCAGCCAATGTGGGTGTGCTGTGCACTTGTCTAGATAGTGGTTAGGACCCAACAGAGGAAAGACTACAGAGTAGTTAAAAAATTGATAGGAGAGGGATGAGTTTCCAACATGAATTCAGTTGTGCCATTGTCACCTTCTGGTCTCTCATGTCCTAGAGTATGGGTCACTTAAGTTTGAATCTCCTGACCTGGCCATTAGTTATACAATTCATGATGCAATCCTTCCATTTGTAAATCAAAGAACTGGGAACAGATTATGAATACATACCCTGGCAGAGTTTGCTCACCACAGTTCCTGGCAGGACAGATGAGCAGCAGATACTATCTAAGGCTCTGGTCTGTTATAGCATTGCTCAGCTGTTGCCAAATCCAAACTTATCCATCTTTGCCTTCAACTCACAATCTTAAAGGACCCTTTATCTTTATGCAAAAATAGGATACTTAGTTACCCAGTTGTAGACCCATTTGGAAAAGAGAAAAATCCAGAAAATACGTCACATCAAAACCACTATAGCTGTCATTTGCAAAGGGTAAGGTTCTGGGCTGAAAACATTTAACAAACCCTGGTTTTGGTTCAGCAATCAGTCCACATTCTGATAATTAAAAAGCACTTTTCTGAGGCCACAGTTCTGAAACACCCTGGAAAGAAATGAAGGAAAAAAAAACCAGAGCAGCAGGCCACAGCCAACTATTCCCAGAAGGGGTCAGGAGTGCACAGGGCACTCTGATAATCTGCCCTCCTCTAGGAATAAAACACTTGTGTATTCAGCAGTCACTCAAATTATGAGAAGGAATCTGGGAGGGATGAAAACAGGTCTGACCCAGAATAAAGAAACCTGTTCTAGAGACCGGCGAGCGGAAGTGTGGGAGTACAGACTGAGGCGTTTGCTTCCTTCTCACAGCTCCTGAGAGCAACCTGACTTGCCCCACCCAAGTTCTCCTGGTAAATACCGGAAAGTGCAGGGAGTAGATGAGCGTGCTCATGGTTGAGTTCACGTGATATCACATGTATCAACAAAGGTAACAACATCTCATGGGTCAGGCATTGCTGGGTCTAGAGACACTGTCTTTCTAGCCATATTAAAATTCCCTTCAGGAGCTGCCAACACAGCTTGGAGGGTAAGCAAGCATGAAGACCAACTTCAGATTTCCAACACTGGGGTGGTTGTGGTGGCCCTCCTGTAGTCTCAATGCAGAGGAGGTAAAAAGCAGGGGATACCTAGAGCAAACTGACCAGCTAGACTAGCCTCATCATTGAGCTCTGGGTTCAACTGACAGAGCCTGCCTCAATGAGTCCAAGGTGAAGAATGATTAAGGAAAACTCCCAGTCACCTTGGGTTTCCACATACACATTCATCCCCCACACATAACATGCATGTACACTATACACAAACACCCTAAAAAATAACAATTTCCCTTGCAGATATACAGCAGAGATGTGTCCAAAAGCAGCAGGTCCCTGCTTCTAGAAAGTAGGCTTCAGCGGTTAGTGGAAAGGGTGGATCTGGATCACCAACTTGAGGTGGAGACAGGTAAGAGGAGCTAGCCCTAAACTGTATTTGGAAAAGATGCTATCAGCCAGTTATACCAAAGAGGCCCAAGAATATGGATCCTTATGAACTTCAGGACATCCAGCATATCAAAATCATTTTAATAAAAAAGCTGAGCTGGGCAGTGGTGGCACACGCCTTTAATCCCATCACTCAGGAGGCAGAGGCAGGCAGGCGGATCTCTGTGAGTTCGAGGCCAACCTGGTCTACAAGTGCTAGTTCCCGGACAGGCTCCAAAACTATAGAGAAGCCCTGTCTCAAAAAAAACAAACAAACAAACAAACAAACAAATAAATAAGCTGGAGGTATAGCTCAGTGGGGAAGCATGAGTTTAGCATGCATGAAGCCCTGGGTTCACTCTTGCAGAAGTGTCCCTCCCCCTGACAGGCAGATAGACAACAGACAGATAAATCAATACCTGTGAGTGCAGTGATTCTGATTCAAAATTTAAAAACTTTGGCTCCAACAAGATAGATACAAGGTTAAGGCTATGTGCTTTGTCCAATGAACCTTCAGACATGACCTGACCTTTGCTTCGTCCTCTGAACAAAACACTACAAGTTGAGACCAATAATAGATTACTGGTCTATATTGGTATAGGTAGTACTACTACCACCCACCAGAGCATCCTGAAAATATTCTGGATCTGGCCATTGATGGGAAGCCAGTAAACCTGAGGCACACAGCTTTTTGGCTGCACTTATTACATGTTCATGTACTCTTTGGGGAAAGATCTGAACACACTAAGACAGAGGGACAGTTAGTACGATGAGCATCCATGCACACACTCATCTTCAGGTCAGAATCTATGTTCACTACCTGTACTAGTTGGGTTTCTATTGCTGTGACAAACAACAGAACTAAAAAGAAACTTGGAGTGAAAAGGCTTTTATTTCAGCTTACAACTGTAGCCCATCACAGAGGGAAGTAAAGGCAGGACTCAGGGCAGAAACCTAGAAGCAGGACCTGAAGCCGAGACCATGGAGGAACACTGTTTATTGACTGGCTCCCCAAGGCTAATTGAACCTACTTCTTTTTAAATTTATTTTAAATTAAAATATAATTACATCATTTTCCTCCATCCAACCCCTACCATAGCCCTCCCCTCTGCTCCTTCTAAATTCATGACCTTTTTAAAATTGTTATGGATATATATGAAAATGCATAACTATATAAATACAACCTGTTGAATCTGTAGGGTTACTTGTATGTATATGATCTTATGGCTGACTACTTGGAATTAGATAATCAATTAGAAACTCATGCCTGGGGAAAGCTAATTCTCCTTCTCTTAGTAGTCCTTGGTGCCTGTAGTTCTTTGCCAAGTGGGGTCCTGTGAGATTTTTTATTCTTTTTGGTCAGCCATGTTGTTGCCGTATCATAGGTACTGCTTTCCTTTAGTTTCTAGGAGACACAGTCTCACAACAGACTTCCTAACCCTCTACCTAATGGTGAGAATTCCACAGTGGGCTGGGCAATCCCACATCAGTAAGTAATCATGGAAATGCCCCAACAGACTTGCATACAGGCCAATCTGATGTTTCCCAGATGACTCTGGCTTTTGTCAAGTTGACCTAAATAAATAAATAAATCTAACCAGGACACGATACTCCTTCCCCACTCCCAGCTATTATGCAGTTGTTTTTAAACCTGTTTTCTTTCTTTAAAAATATTATAATGTTATGAAAATTTAGGAAACAATCATTGTAAAGTAACTCATGTATAATCATAATGCCTATTCAAGTTGCTTTTCAAAACTTTTCAACAACATTTCAACATGGACATTAAGAGCAATCATTTATTAAAGCTATTTATAAACAGCCAAGAGGATTTTACATAAACATAAACTTACTCTTAATCACTAAAGTAGAATTACCCTAGGTACATAATTTTATATTTTACCAACCTGCAGTAATAATTCCCACAGTGAATAATAAATAACTAATGATATACACGTTTAGGTCAGTTCTTATTTTTTAGGTATTAAAATGTTATATATTATATGTGTAGGGATATATAGCTCATAATACACACTAGCAAATGCTATACACATTTAATGAAAAAAACAAAAATCAGGCTTGGGGCTAGAGAGATGGCTCAATAGTTTAAGATCTCTGGCTACTCTTTCAGAGGACATGGGTTTGATTCCCAGAAACCACACAATAGTTCACAAATTGCCTGTAACACTAGTTCCAGAGAATCCAATGCCCTCCAATGCCCTCTTCTGGCCTCTGTGGACACCAGACATATACATGGTATACAGATTTGCATGCAAGTAAAACACCCATACACATAAAAATTAAAATAAGAAATATTTAATTAAAAGAAAACAAGCTGCCAGGTGTGAAGAATATAGCAGCATGTGAAAGACAGAAGGCCTCTGAGATCTGGGAATGCAGCTCCTGCAGACAAAATGACCCGGTAAAAAGCATCAGGCATGAACTGGGACTCACCTTCCTGAAAATAAGCAAGTAGATAATGTCAACTGAAAATTCTTTCCAAAAGCAAAATATTCCCAAAAGGTATGGTGTTTGGGGAACTATAAAGAGATATTAACAAGTTGACCGGACTTGACTTGAAATTTTAACTCAGCACTGCCAAACATCTAACAAATTAAATGCAAAATGTTTGGCACAGTTTCCTAGTGAAAAGCAACACAGGAGGCATTCTCCTTTCTAGATGTCTCTCTACAATCATCTGTCAATCATCCATCCACCCATCCTTCTAGCCATCTATCCGCCCGCAAACTGCAGTAGCATTTAAAGCAAAAATGTGGAATTGGAACAGGAACAGAGCAGAAAAACACAGAGAACTCAAAGACAGGTGAGGGGGAGAAATGTCTCTTAGTATAGGACAAAATTACCATCACCACCCTCTAGACAATTTAATGAAGAAAATTAATCTTGACACTTTTTTAAATGTAAAAACATGCCTTTTTAAAAGGGAAGATATTTTCTAAACAAGATGGAAGGAAGTGAAAATAGATTGGTAACAAAATGACAATTTTGTTCAGAACAGAATTTTGAAGAAAAAAACTTTAATGTAAAATAAGATTTTTTTGACAGTGTTAGGGATCAGGCTTCAGGGGGAAAGACACTGCAAACATCTAAATCAAAGGAGAGAGTGATTTCTATAAGTTAGGACAGTGAATCCTGTAGAAAAATCAGTAAAAATAAATAAATGCTCAAATCAAAAAGAAGGAAGGGAATCCAACAGGGTTGACAAGCATATGATAGAACACATGGCTGTTAGCAACAAGAGTGTTAGTATGTCCCTCTGTGTCTGGATGGCTCCATCTGTTGCATTGGATTGGAAAAAAAAATTATGAAGTCAGAAAATATGAAACTCCAGCAAGAATGTGGAGTGAGCCTGAACAGTCATGGCAGGTCATAAGCCAACAGTGCTTCCAAACAAGGCATTCTCACCTACAGAGTCAGCGGGAACAGAGACGCATGACCAGGAATAGGTGAGAAGAAGAAGCAAGCAAGCACCACAGTCCATGAGCAGTGCTGATGACGTGCCATGATAGCGTGCAGTAACTGAGTGCCAACTCAGAGAAGGGAGGGGAAGTCCAAGAGGAACCATTTCTTCAGCTAACCAACAGCTACCAGTTGCTGTACCCCATGCTGGGAGTCCCAGGATCAAAGGTGACATCCTTGATCTCAGAGTGTACAATCTGATGCTGGAAACCATGACAACTTGGCAAAAGTAAGAGTTATGGCAACTGTCAAAAATAAATAAAAACAAGAGACTGTGACAGTCATAAAGAAAGGGATTCTACTTTGTAGAAGATCACTAAAGAGATGGTGGTGCCCAAATCTGCAGAAAGAAATGAATCAGGCCTGTGACAAATGGAGGCTCTAAGAACTGCATTCAAGGTCCCAAACTGCTACAGGTAGGCAGTGTCAAAGAGGTGACCACCAGGAACGTTCCGTAATTTGACTCATGAACAAACTTAAAAACCCCATTATTGCCAGCTTGGTGGCACATGCCTGTGATCCCGGCATTTGGAGAAACTGAACATAAAGCTAGAACATTCCAGGACAGCATTAAAATAGTGGGGACGTTGAAGACAGAGCTGTGCAAGCATGCGGTCCTGAGTTCAATCCCAGCACTCATGTAAAAAAGCTAGTTGTGCAGGCCCTCCATGGCGCAGGTGGAGATAGGCTGGCTGGCCACCTACTAGGTAAGCCCTAGACCTGTAAGAGAGCACTCAAAACACAAGGTGTGTGGCTCCTGAGGAACCACACCCATGATTGTCCTTTGGATACACATACACACAAGCACATGAACAGACATATGTATTCATGAACAGACAAAAACACACAAAGCATAAAGAGACCATCACTTTTAAAAAAATATGATAAAACAAAACTTGCTGAATTAAGCACTGACCACAAGGCTTAGTATGAGAGTCCAAAATACTCTTAATATTCAAAATATTCAACCCTGGAGAGAGGCACCTTTAATACAAATATTTTACATCTCAAAAACTGTTCCTTTATTCCACAACAGTAATTGAGTTCATATACTATTTCCCAGTGTGGTGCAGGGAAGTAAGGATAAATATAAAATTCCCTTGTCTGTAAGGATCTCCCTTTAATTTATAAGACTTGGGACTCTCACTGTTTCAAACCCTAGCTGATTTCTGTGATTACAAGCCAACCCTATTTCATGCTTATCATGGGGCCAAGCACAATGCTAGGAGCATAAAAATCTATTTTATACCAATATTGTAATGCCAGCATTTACACTTTAGGTAAATAACAGAGGACATGGCAGGGCCACTGCATCATGAACTCACAGCAGCTGCTGAGGACCTCAAAGACTTGTCCAAGATCAAGCCAGTGAGCACTCCACCATGAGTAGTTTTTGACAGGTGAAGGGCTGCCAAGAGACTAAAGGGAGACTCCATTTTCTTCAGGGCTATGGCCCCTGGTAGGTTGCCAGTGTATAATCTCATACCCATGCACATCTAGGCAGCACTAATTGGACTAAATAGGAAGGAGGAAGGGGAAATAGAAATGAGGTTGGGAGGAGGATGTGTTGTGGAGGGCAAGCCAAGAGGAGTTAGAAAGGGGAAATGAAGATGTGAATGGTTTAAGTGCATTATGTTCATGGATGAAAATACCAAATGGTGTGTGTGTGTGTGTGTGTGTGTGTGTGTGTGATTTGCCTGAAGCACTAACTTAGGAAGGGGTAAGGATTACATTCAGATCAGCCTTTCAAGCCCCAAAGGCAGTATCAACAATGACGCTTGTATCTCCTCCTAGGATTCATAAAATAGTTTTCACATGTCAGCAGCATCGCATAAACTTGGAAATGACCAGAACTACAAGAAGCAGGGATCAAATCAGACACTCTGGAATAGGGCAGCGGGCCACATTTTCACAGTCCACAAAGGTTTGAGAATCACTAGCCTACATTTTGTGTTGAGGGTAAAATGATCACCATTTTGAAAAAACCCTATATGTAGGCTTCTGACCTAGTTTAAATGACTATAAATATTTCAAAACAATGTCAATTGATTTCCTCAATACCCCCAGGCCCCAAATTCTCATCAACTTCTCTCCCAAACCTGAAAAAAGGGCCTAATCTGTATTTTGACTATGGCACATTTAAAAAAAAATTTTTAAATTTAAAAAAAGGACAAATCAGAGTTCAGTGAATCACTGAGAGGGCTCAGTGGGTAAGGGTGTTTGCCACCAAACCTGAGTTTGATTCCTGGAACCCGTGTGGATAAGCAGTTGTCCTTTAACTTCTGTCCCTCACTGTGGCAAGTATATGCATGCATGTACACATGCAATAGATGAACATACAAGTGTAATTTAAAAAATTAAGACAACGCAGCCCTGGAAAAAACTCAGCCAGGCACAATCGTGCCTCTCACCTGGGCATCTCCCCATCTCAGGATCCAGTCAAGTGTGGGTCAGAAGAGGAGCATAAACAGACTTCCATCATCATTCCTTAAACAACAAAGCCTAGCAGCTACTCGGGTGCCCTCTGTGCTGTATAACAGGAAAGGATCTGCAGTCCTTGTCATCTAGAGATGGTTCAAAGCATGCGGGCTACACACAAGTACAGGTCATTTTGTACCTAGAACTTGAGCATCCAGCCTTAGATTAGTACCTAAGGGGGTATTGGTACCAAGTGTGGGTGAGGGGGTCCCCAGGAAAGAGACCAGATACTCTGTACTTTCCTAGGGACCGAGTTAAATTTAAAATACACTACATCAGAAGACATATTAGAAAGAAATTAAGCAATACAGTCAGTGGAAGCATGGCAAATCTGGCCCATGGCTCCATAATCCTTTTAAGCCTGAGTTCAACTCCAAATCTTAATAACAAACTTCCATTTGCCAAAAAAGAAGTCACAACCCTCAAAACTAACTGATTCTTGACATTCAGACTTCTCTACCTACAGATACAGGAAAACCCTTTCCAAGAGATTTTAAGTCAAAGAGTCAACTAACAATGTTGCTGTTCCTGCCCTTCACAGCTCCCCAGTGCCAAACCCTGTGACCAGTCTACATTCCTAACCTGTAAAGTTCACCTACTATCAATGTGCTTCTCAAAAAGAAGACTCTGAGTTATACAGCCAAGCACCCACCATAGGCAAATGGACACTGCTTAAAGCTGTCCGTATACATTCCCAGCTCATTAGCTTGAGAAAGCTCAAGATTCCACTCATTCCAAACATTGAAGCTGAGTGTAAAGAAGGCTGGTGTTGGAGAGACTAGGCTGACCTACATGGCAAGAGCCTACAGAGGAAAAAACAAAACTGAAAACATAGTCAAAGACGGGAGCACACCTAACCTAAGTCTGGCCCTTAGAGAGCCTTAAACTGACTGCAGTGTGGGTTAGCCTGGATGCTGCTTCAAAAGGGAAATGCACTCTATGCAGCTGACTCCAGGGCAGCTTTTAATCTGTGCTACCACTTCCAACTGCTCACCCTCCGGTACCCACACATCCCAGGGCCTGGCAGTGCTCCCAAGAGCCTCCTTCCCCTGAGGGTGGGAGCCTGTTTACCTTCCCACTCCCAAATCCCCATCATTACAGCAGAGGTGATACCTAGACACTATAGGGCAGGTCAGTAAGTTATAACAAAATGTAGTATGCCTGTAATACAGCACAGTGTGTTACATAAAACACAAAAAGGATTACTTCGTAAGAACAATTCCATTTAATAATTCATGAGATGTTTCAATGTTCTTAATTCCTTTAACAAAACCTAACAATCTTCTAGAGTTCCCCAAGCCATGACATCACCCCATAGTGGCTACCTAAATTCCTATGCTTGAATTATTCTAATAAAAAAATTATTGCTACATTTTTAATCCTTCCATAAATGTAAAAACTTTGCTCAAAGTCATCTTATAATCAATATCCACCAAAATGCATCCTCATTCTTTCAGACCAATTCACAAAACTCCTGAAAGACACAGCTAAGTTAGATGTGCAGTGGAAAACTAGTGGATTTGCAAAGACCCCTCCCCAAAATATTTCAATAGACTCTCATGAAGCACTATCAGTTTTTATTATTATTATTATTATTATTATTATTATTATCATTGCCTGTGTGGAAAATTACCTTTCTGGGAACTTTCAAACTATCTTAGTAGCTGCCTAGAAAAACTAAAAGATGGTATTTCTTGAAAATGACCATCTCTGATACTGTAATGTGCTTGATAAATTCAAGTCTTACCCAGATCTCAGATAAAGTGCTAGTTAAGTGTCTGCGCTATAGTTTCTTTCATCACAAGAGCTTTCAGTTCTTGTGACTGTAAAACGGGCATTTTCTGCACAGTTGTCCCCGGGAAAAGTAACTGGCAAGTGCTGTGAGCTTTATGAACACACCTAAGGGAACCTGTGTGCACCTGGGCAAGGAGGAGGCACTTCAAAGGCATCACTGCACACAGACACTAGCCTTCTAAACCTCAGTGGGCAGTATCATTTCACCTGTGGGCAGATGGCATGCTGGGCAGGCTAAAGAAAAGTTAACAGTCACTCAAGGTACTTTTTCCAAGACCATTTTAATCACGTATTGAATTGCCTAGGATGTGTCTGACAAGTGTTAGAGCAGCAGGTGCAGTCCTGTAGCCTAAAGTCCACAGATTGCTTTTTAAAAGGCTTTTCTGTTTCACTGCTGTTGATTGAAGAAGGAGGGGGAGAAAAGGAAAAGAAAGAAGGGAAAGGGAGAGAGACTGAGAGAGAGGGAGGGAGGAACTTGGGGGAAAACCACAATTTCACTCCCATCCGTGGCATGACAGCGGCAGGTCCACCCCCACAGTACTCTCGAACCCGCACCGGCACCATCTGAACACTCCGCCCCCATTCCTTTCACCCTTCCCTCCCCACTTCAGCCCAGAGAAAGGTGAGTCACCAGTCACAGTGCTGGGTCTACTTGTCACTTAGGTAAACGTTCCCAAACAAATTCTCGAAAAAAAGGCTACTTTAAGTAAAAGAGCAAACAACATCGCGGTGAACTCCGTGAACTCGCAATGCCTAGAGCCTAATAAACCTGAATTAAACAGGACTCAAGTAAAGACGTCTTCTGGCCGAAGGAGATAAAAAAGGCTTTTTACTACTTAGCAGGTCCTTGTGCCCCGCAGTCTCATCTCCCGCAGGTCTTCCCGCCTTGGCTCAGCTGCCGCGTCCCGCAGCGCCCCACAGTTCCAGGATCCGCCCGCGCCTGCACCCCTTCCTCTGCCCGCCTCTCCGCAAGGTGCTAGCGCGAGGCGCCTGGAGGCCGGCGGCTGTTCCAGGGAGCGCAGCCGCAGGAGCCGGGACCGCGGGAGGCGCCGCCGTCCACCGGCCCCTTACCTGCTCTGCTAAGCTCCGTAGCTCAGGATCTGAGACAATCAGGAGGCTGATCCGATCCGCCGCCGCCGCAATCAACGACGCTCAGCTCCGTAGCTCGGGATCTAAGGACAATCGGGAGGCTGATCCGATCCGCCGCCGCCGCCGCCGCCGCAGAGCAGGACGAACCAGCCCACAGCACCCCCGCACTCACGCCCCGGCCCCGGCCCGGGGGTGGAGCTTCGAGGGGGCGGGGTCATATGGGGGGCGGGCTTCGAGGGGCGGAGTCTAGTTGGGTGGGATCTTGGAAGGGCGGGGTCTATGGGCCTATCGGCCGAGAGCCGCAAAAGCTGTGGGTCAATACTGCTCAAGGACTGCCTACAGTAAGGTCGTCTCAGAGCTCCCTCATTGGTTGGCAAGGGCAAACAGAACAGAGCCCTGATTGGTAGCAGCACTGTAGCTCCTCCTCTCCGTCCCCTCCCGCCCCGCCCCGCCCCGCCCCGCCCCGCCCCGCCCCGCCCCGCCCCGCCCCGCCCCGCCCCGCTGCTCTATTTGCCCTTGGCTTCTCAAGCCTAGGTGGCTGGCAGCAGGAGGCGGTGCAGTGGGGAAGCTAGCAACCTCAGAGGAGAGCTCTCTGGATGCGGGGTTCCCTGAGCAGGGGATGAGCTCCTACCATCTTGTTTTTTGTGAGACCTTTTGTTGAATACCATCTCATCTTCAATATCATATTAATTTATTGAGGTCGCTGGGATTTATTTTAAATGCTGAATAAAATTCAGAAAGATGTGAGACAGCAAAGAAGTCATGGATGTTTTCACCTTTGGTGAGAGCAGAAGTGAGTTTCTTAATGATTGTCTGTGTTCATAGAAAGTAGGCATTACTTTCCTAGTTTTTAATAAAACAAACTTTTTTTAAAAAAATAGAAAAATAGATAAGAAAGGAAAATAAACTTAGGAAATATGCAAGGGGTGAGTTTTTCCATGATGGAGGAAAATCCAATCTCTACACTCTTCCGTCTCTTGAAGCAGTTCACAGGATGACTGAGGTGTATCTATCCTTCCGATATACTTATGCAACACATAAAATAACATGTAAGTAGAATTATTACAGCAGGACTCAGTGACACAAAGAATTTTGTACTTCATAAATATTTGGCCAAAAAGGAAGAAAAATGACATAGAATTTTGGGTGATAGAGTGGGAAAGCTCAGCTGGTGGAAGAAGTAAGAAAATGAGAGTGCCGTGGTGTGACAAACTTTGAACATTAAAAGCCAAAGGAGGCAGGGGCGGGGGTTAGGGATCAATGGCCTGTGGCTAATCCAAGTAATGGGAAGGATGCGCACACATGTCCAGCCAGGCTGAGGTGTGACACATAGTCCACCCTGGAATTCTCTCAATCTCACAAATTCTGAAACAGGCCATAGAAAATTAGGAAATTAGGTATTTCTTACAACAGCTTGATGAACTATATAATAGTGAGAACAAATGGAGGTGGATAAAACTCTCATTTTTTTGTTTTTGTTTTTGTTTTGTTTTACACTAATGGGGAGATCCAGAAGCCAAAACCAAAGGCTCAGAGGGGAGCCAGCTTTCTCTGCAAATCTGCTTCGCTTGACTTCCTGACGCCTACCAACCTCCCTGCCCAGTTTCAAGCCTCTGCTCTTCACAATTCTATCAGCTGGCCTCCCTCTCTGAAGAGCGCCTCTCCTGGAAGACTTAATGAATGTGAGTGAATGAATACACTGCTGCCACACAGTGAGACCATCGTGACATCACCAAATACTAATGGGATGGATGGCAGAGGATGCCATTGTCCCTTCAGCAGAAACCTTGGAGGAAGAGATCTGACCCAGCATGAGACAATTTGGTAACTTTTCTGATGGTTCATAAGCAATAAAAAATATTGTAGTCACTTTATTCCCCAATTAAAGGTGAATAGCAACATTTTGGTCAACACTAGCTTCCTTCAAAATAAGCCCTTGATTTGGGGTGGAATTCCATGGAGGTGTGTCAAGGTGTCTGGGGTCCCTTGGATTGATCTCAAGCACTGCAAAACAAAACAAACAAAATCCACACTTGGTTGCAAGGAGGGGCTGCTTGTTTGTCCCAGCTGCCCAGCTAGCTTAGCCCCAAAATAACCGCGCAGAAACTGTATAGATAAATCACTGCTTGGCCCATTAGCTCTAGTTCCTTATTGACTAATTCTTACATCTTAATTTAACCCATTTCTATTAATCTGTGTATTGCCATGTGGCAGGGCATACTGGGTAAAATTTCTAGCATCTGTATCTGGTGGATCCATGGCATGTCTCTCTGATTCTGCCTCCTTTATCCCAGCATGCCATTTAGTTTTCCCTGCCTGCGTAAATTTTGCCCTATCAACAGCCCCAAAGCAGTTTCTGTATTAACCAATGAAAGCAACACAAAGGCAGAAGGACCTCCCATACAACACTTCCCAGCTAGGCAGGCTCTGTCTTCCTCGACAGGAAGAAAATCTGACTTTACATCCCCAGAATCCTCTTTCCAGTTCATAAAGAAAGAAGGAGGAGGAAGATACAGGATTGACACATTCCTATCTGCCCAGTGCTGTTTCCCTGAATGTTTATTCTCTGAGTTGTCCAATGTTGACTGTAGCTTATGTTTTCCTGTATTTTCAGTCATTCTTAGAGACCTGAACTTGTGCACATGGCTGCACCTCGCAGGCTCTGGGCATTGCCTCTAGTTTCCTGAAGTACACTTTGTGTGGATTGTTCTTTCTGGTTCCCAAAAAGCAGCATAGACATGCCTTCTTCCCTTCACAGAAGAGCAGCCCTGCTGCCCTCTATAGCCCCGTCTCTCTGTTCTTTCTCCACTCTACCAATGCCTGCATCTTCTCAACTTTAGATAGCTCAGGTCAGGTTCAGACACTCTAAACAGTGAGTTACCCTTGCTGTCCTACCAATGTCCCCCTCCAGTGAGATTAGGGACAACATTATAGAAGTCAGAAGACTCACAACATTGCTTCTTCAGAGTAAAATCCAGCTTTACCCCACAGCTCTTCCTCCACCTCTCAGGGTCTTATTGTAAGTGAAGGATGTTTAAAAGTCACCAAGTGACTACATTCCTTTCAAGGTTTGTTTCTGTTCCTTGTTCAGGCAACTTCAGCATTTTACATCTATTTGGCTTTTTGTTGTTTTAGTCAGAATTATGTACATCTTGCTGTGCTGATATGAATCTCTAAAAACATTTCAGTCTCTAAAAACATTTCAGAACACAGGCTAAAATCTCATTCCCATAAGCCACACTCAAGTGTGGTGCTATTTGAGTATGAGATCCACGGAATACACACCTCTGCCTGTCAGTCTCAGAGTTAGAGAAGTAGTCTTGGTTGCTGCACATGGGTAGGCCAACCTATGTTCTATTTAGAAATTCAAGTTACCTTTTTTTCTTTTCATACAGGTTTCTTAAAAATGTAGTAGCCCAGGCTGACCTCAAACTCATCGTGCAGCGGAGGATGATCTTCTGCCTCTACTCCTAAGTGCTGGGATTCCATCTGTAAATATACTACCACACCTAGCTCTTTTTGTTTGGGCTTGGTTTTTTGTTTACTTGTGTTTTTTGTGGGTGGGGGGCGTGTATTTTTGTTTGTTGAGAAAGCCTCTTAATATGTAACCCACTGGTGATCTTGAACTGGGCTCAAATAATCCTCCTGCCTCAGCCACTACAGTAGGTGGGATTATGTGTTCCACAATGCTCAACCACAGCAATCTTAATTTATATATTTACCAAGGAAGTAGGTTGTCCTTTAACAAAAATAATGCTACATGTTAGTGAGCTGCTGCTCATGGCTTGTGTGTCCTGGCTTCTTCCTGAGAGGCATCCATAAAGCTCTATGCACTCCAGTTAGGACACTGAGAACAGTTCTTTGGAGTCCAGTCTGCTAGACCAACTAGCTCATTGGAGTTACTTATTGGAGCACAGGTGACTTAAAGCAGCTTCATCATCATAAAACCCACACCAACTCGATCTGCATCCCTAGAGTCTATCTCTAGTTGGGAGTATCTAGCAACATCTAAGGGAGTCTACTCCAGCAGCCATTGTGTCGGTTGGGGAGAGAGGTGCTAACTTGTGTTGTGTCTTTCTGAGCTTCCTGGGACTTGCAAATTTCCTTTACTTCCTGAATCTTAGACCTGGCTCCTAGGAGGGAACTTTTAAATTCAGAAGAAACAGCTACATACCATATTTGGCTTTGAATCTATCACAAGGCTTTCTCCCTCACTTTTATTAGATGTTGTTTGTTTGTTTGTTTGTTTGTTTAGTGTGTGTGCAAAAGTGGAGGACAGAAGACAACTTGTTACCACTAAGCCATCTTGCCAACTTCTCCACTCTATGCACTTACCAATCCCTTGTCTAAACACATGACTCTCCTCTCTTTGCTTGGTGAGGTCCCCTGGAGGTGCCTTTATCACACTCTCCCTTGTTGACTTGACCACATTAGACTAGGTTGACCTAGTAGGGTTTGACTGTTGGAAACTGTCCTTAAGAACGAGTTCTTGAGAGCAAGCATAGTAGCACATGGCTTTAGTACCAGCACTCGGTAGACAGAGGCAAGAAGATGGCAAATTTAAGGCCATCTTGGACACATAGCCACACTTTGTTTTTAAAACAAGAGTAAACAAAACCAACAAATTAAATTGAGAGATTTGTGCTGTTTATAGTATGAGAATGAGACACGTCAGTCTAAACTTTTGGCAGCCCCTGGAGTTCATGATTCTTATTTCTATTTGGCAACTCTTTAGAAATTGTACATTTTGCAACCTGCTGTTTCTGTTAGGACATCTGTGTGTCAACTGACATCTAACAGCCCTGAGAAGATGGAGTTAAGAAAGACAGCTGGGGCCTAATCTACAGACCTCTACAAGACTATGCCAGGGAACTCCACAGGAGCAGGCCCAAGCCAGGGACGTCTGTGGGAACAGGCCTGAGCCAGTGATCTCAGCCAGAGCAGGCTCAAAGCAGCAACCTCCACAGGAGCAGACTTGAGCCGGCAACATCCTCCAGAGCAGGCACAAAGCAGTGACCTCCATAGGGATAGACCTCAGCTGCAGCAGGCCCGAGGCAGCAACCTTCACAGGAGCAGGTACAAGAGAACCACTGCTGGGGGAGCAGGCCCCAGTCAGAAACCTCCAAAGGAGCAGGCCTGAGCCACAAGCAGGCCCAAGGCAGTAAACTCAGTGGGAGCAGAAGAAAGAGAAG